AAAAAGGAGGTGTGATAGCCTACAAAGCTGTAAAAACACACGACCGGGAATTAACGTCCGTTACAAATTATCTTCGCGGTCAGAACAGTTGTAAAAAAATTATTTATATTTTTATATATCCCACCGACCCTTATGTTTTTAAAGATGTCCCGCAAAATACTTTTGACCTAAATTGCTAACTATTTAGATCTTACACTTAAAATTTTGTATTGACTTTTAAACAGGAATTTATTTTTTGCACCATCGAATGTGGAACCTATGAAATTGTTTTGTTAGAAAATACGCGCTAAAATTTATTTTTCAGTTGCACATTGATTCGTCTTCATTGCTTTCCGTGAATAAAAAAAACATGGAGACAGAACATTGGACATTCTGTTTGTTTACGATTTGTTTGTGCGGAGGCGTTTTGGGAAGCAACCTTTGCCAGTTTACCTCACAATTCAACAATGAAAAGGAATTGGACGGATCCATGTTTGCCCCTGATGGCTCCATGGTTTACTTTTTAGAAGGAAATCAAGAAAATTGTTATATCGATTTAGATTTTGTGTTTGAGTTGATCCCTAAAAATACGCATGAAGAAAATGAAAAGAGAGGAGTCCTACTGAAAGAAATTCAGTTTTACTGCGCCAAAAAAGTATCGGTACATTTTTTCACGAAGATAACTTTTGACACAACTTACGACCATACAAAATTATATGTTGCGCTGGTGTTTGCGAGATGCTCTGTTTATTTGGAGGATTTGTCTTTGTTTACAAAGTATGGAACTATTTGGTCGATTGTTCAAAGCAATGATTCCTTGATACATGTCCCGTCACAGATAGTAAAGTGTACTTTTACTAAGCAAATACGAATAATTCATTCGAAAATAAACTGTGTGTCTGAGGCAAAGTTTTTCTGGGAATTTTGCGAAGAGATATTTGAAAAGGTAAATACTTTACAACTAGAAGCCTGTGCGACGAATCAGTCAAGTATAAAAGCGGAATCTTTGACCAAAAGGTTTCCGGGGGTCCAAGCGTTACAACTAAATAACATTGATTTGTCCACACAACTTACGTTTCCATGGACTCATTATTTTGTCAATTCGACAAATATCAGATCATTTACATCGTATGAGACCTATATGAATGTATCAGGAACTAGCATAGGAAGAAAAATTCAAATATACAACTCGGAAATTGTTAATATGATACGCCTGACAGGAATGATTTCAAACATTGTCATAAACAATGCAAATTTTATCTCCAATCAAAGTGAAATATTTAGAAATGTAATTGGACTGAACAGTGTAGACATTTCTAACAATACGATGACTGAAATAAATGAACTCCTGTTCAAAAACCTCTCAGATATAAAAGACATCAATTTACAGCATAATCAACTGAAGACTCTTCCAGTTAACATTTTTGAAGATCAACGTCATCTGTTATTTCTAGACCTGTCAGACAATAAACTGTCTTCGCTAGATCGAAACCTGTTGAAAAATCAACCATTTCTACAAGAACTTCATCTTGAAAATAACAGACTGTCGGCATTACCGCATGGATTCCTGAAAGAACAGATAGGCTCTCTTAAATTATTGTTCTTGTTTTCGAATCCAATTAAGACAATCCCAGTTATGCCTTTCTACGGAGCAAGTATTGAAATGATTGATATGCATAAAAGCGACATTACGGGAGAAAGTTTATTAGATCTGGCCAACGATATTAATATCTATGATTTTATGTACGAGAACTTGGAACGCAGACAGTTATCGTCAAGAACAAAAGGCGAAAGAGAGTTCCTTCAACGACCGCTCCTTGATTTATCCTTCAGTAACATTAAAGATATTCACTTGGATTTAAATGTAAAAAATCAGACTTTTATGAAAATTTTGCAGCTGTTTAAGTCATTCAGCATTAAAGGCGATGGAAACCCATTTAAATGTAACTGCAGACTTTATTCCATTAGACTTCTCTTTTTAATTAAAGATACAAAGGAATTTAAGTTGGATTGGGTATGTGAATACCCAGAAGAACTTAAAGGGCGAAAAGTAACTAGCCTTACAGACCGAGATATCTATTGCCCTATCAATGTTACTAACTGTCCGAGAGAGTGTGTCTGCTATGTTAGATACGATTTAAGTTCATGGATTGTCGACTGTCGGAATATCAATATGACGATATTACCGCCCGTAATGCCAAAAGAACCTTTGGAATTATGGTTCAAGAACACAAGTTTGCTTAGTCTAGACGAAAGGGACTATTTCGTAAACGTGTCGGTTTTGGACGTTTCTGAAAACAAACTGACTCACATTAAACCATTAACTGCGTCAAAGTTACAAAATGTTGCTGTTTTGAACATAGAAAGCAATCACTTTACGTCACTTCCGGTACAAATAAGATACACGGGCATTAAAAGGCTATATTTAGCTAAGAATCCTTTAAAGTGTGACTGTCACACAAAATGGATGAAAGCCTGGTTACTCGATAAATCTTGTCCTGTTAACGATTGGAACACTATAGAATGTACAGACTATACAAAGAGGGTTAATACATTTGTAACCACTCCAGATTCCGTGTTTGTATGCCAGGAGGTTGAAACCCTTAGTATTGCAGAACACGTGATATTCCCGGCAACCATTATTGGATCCTTTGTGTTTATTATTCTTGTTTTGTCTCTCACTATCTATTTCCAACGGTTTACGGTCAGGGTTTTGCTTTATATGATATTTGGAATAAAACTATTTTATAGACGTAACAATTATGAGTACAATTTAAGGTATGATTGTGTTGTTTTGTACGACAAAAAGGACGAAAACTTTGTCAACAAAAACGTCAAAAGTCCCCTGAAAGACTTAGGCTATGATGTAGCCGACATTTACGACGACTCTATAATTGGATTTACATTTATCGATGGTATAAAAAAGTTGATTTGTAATTCAAAAGTAAAAATATTCTGCTTAACAAGAAACAGTTTGAATAACGACTTAATAGCAGCTTTATGGAATATTACTTCTGAACGAGGTCTCAAAAGTAATTTGGGCTCAATTATACTTATCTTAGACAAAGAGTTTCGGGATAAATATACGGAGGAAAATATGCGTTTATTTGTAAAAAGTGGTAGATTCATCAAAATGGATTCATTGCTATTGCATAAAAGTATAGCCTTTCTTATGCCTCCTCAAAAACGTCTAAATCACAATCCGGAAACTAATGATAGCGGAATAGATTTTGAGGATGTTGGAGCAAACAATTTGCACTTAACGCAACAAAAACATCGGCTCACAGCGAACACTATCCAAGAAAACTCTAATGAAAGAGAACGTGACATCTTTATAGTTTTTCCCGAAGAAAATGACGAATTACACCAACTTGCAAGGCAAACCATCATACCATTTCTTCGAGAGAGTAACCAGAAAGCTAGTGTTCTAAAAGACGACTTTGTGTTTGGCGAAGATATTAGGATGGGCATAGAAACTAGACTAAATAAAGCAAGGCATGTGATCTTTATCGTATCGAAGGAAGTTTTGGAAGATGAAGTCTGGCAATACATCCTGAGTGCCATTATTACCAAAGCATTTCTCTGTAACGGTAATTATCTGCTACTTTTTACATACGGCCAGATTGATGAAAACGATATGTCGGAAAACTTAAAGAAATATGTCAATAGTCATATTACGGCTAGTGTTAATGATCCGAACTTAAAAGATCGTATGCTAGCAGCTCTAACATTTGAAGAAAACCAGGTTTGTGATGAAGATAGTGAAAGTGTGACGACAGAGAACAGTGCAGATGATGAAAATTTAATTTGAGATTTGTATATAACGGTATGGTATGTTGCTACATAATGTGATTTACTGTTGGATTTAAATTTTTACGATTATGTGAGATCACAAAGCAATCCAAAAACAATATGCACCCTGGTGGTTTTGTAAGGTAGTTTTAACGCGAAAATATTTTTTGTTGTTGACATTAAGTTATTCTTTCCCCCTCTTATCTATAAACGGAAATAAATGTTGTAATTGTCGCATCTGGCATCCTGGTCAATGGTCGTCCAACCTTTATCCTGACCATAACATCTTCATTACATAAGAACCTTCATACTTCCTGTATTTAAGAAAGATTTTGACATCCAAAATATGACGGTGATCCTTTTATGTATTTCATATTCAATGTCAAATTAACAAAGTTCCTCCTATACAGGTACGCGTACTATACGATGGTATTGTGTGCGAACATACCTTTTTACGTTCAGAAGTTTTAAGATTAATTATCATTTCATGAAATCACATTCAGATTATTCTTTTATGTTTCATACAGATCAATTTAAAAGCAGTCATGGAAATTCAATGTATTTACTATTAAAGCGACGTGAATGGAGATTGTGGTGGTCTCAAATTTAAATGATTCGGTGTTAAATTACTGCTTTTAATAAGGAAGTTAAAGCTAAATTTAAACCTTCTTTTACTTGATAGGACTTCGCGACTGTTTTTGTTGCTATGAACAATACACAGCGTCAAGCCTTCTTGTGACAATTGATATGTCTGACGTCATGTCATGCTGTACAATGCTTCTACTCGTTTATGTTAAATACTTTTGGTTAATAACAACTTTTTATCAATTGTGTAAGACCTGTGTAATTATATGAACACAAAAAAGTTGTTTATTTTTCTCTACAATTCTATCTGAAACAGGCATTGTTTACTACTAGTAACATAAAGGTCACTATAATATTATGGCTCTCTTTTATATTTACCACTATTATTATTTATATTTGATGAAATATTTAAGACTTATGACCAGTTGCGTTAAATTAAAAAAAAACAAAACAAAAAACAAACAACAACTTCTTTTAACCACATCTTAGTTTGTCATTCAAATCCTTCGAATGACCATGTTTGTCTTTGGTGTAGGAGTAAAACTGCCATGTCATACAGTGGTAGGTCAGTTACCAGAACCATGGAACTTATATAGACATCCTCTTTCAAGTGGTGTTGGATTGTCAAACTATTCATAAATTGTCTTCCCTTTTTCCACATTTCAGTTTCTCATTCCCATCCTTACCCTTTGGTGAAGAAATGAGTGTCATACACTGGAAGTCCAGTAGAGCCACGGAATTTATATACATGCACATTGTTTGTCTTTCAGGTAGGATAAATTGTACCTTTGTTAGCGAATTATTCTCACTTTCTCTCGTAATATGAATTCTAGAAGTGCTTGCAAGAAAAACAAGTTAGACCATATCAGGGACGAGTTGACTCGTTCACCAAAAGCAGGGGACGAGTTGACCAAATAGGTGTTGATTTGGCCCGATTGCGGAAGATCTCTGATGCATCTCCGTGCATTATTTCATCAACGTTCAATTGAAAGAATCAAAAGTGCAACGCTATGGCGGGGGCTATATACGCCCGTATGACACTTTGTTTGAATAATCAAAAATAATTTCAGTTAGGGAAGAGACCGATTCATTAAACTTCATCTAAATGCATTTTGACCCTATGTGCGCATGATTCATAAACTTTTATAGAGTGCTACTAGGCAATGCTGTACAGTGTCTGCTAATTACCATTGGTAAAGTTACGAATTTACATTGATTTAAGCATTTCAAATGGAAGATCAAATGGCATGTCCTGACAAAAAATTCAAGTTCAACACTGTTTTAATTGCACGAAAAGCATTTTACATGCTCTGAATCCATTATCAAAACAATATGAAACATAGCCTTGCCTCTTCTCCAGAATATTGGTCATATTAATTTCTGACGTCCCTAACAATAAAAGAAAACGTTTTCTGTTTCTTTGTTTTAACTGTTTTATTGCACAGGTTCCATATTATGTACAATTTTTAATCAACATTGCTTAACAAGATATTATATAACAGTCATATGTTACAAACATATTTATGTATTCTTATATAATTATACACATTATGCATTTATTAATCAATGCTATAAATTAAAGATCAGGGAATATGTAACTAAATAACAGTGAATATAAACAAGTTAAAACACTTGTTATTTCATTTATATTTCAAACCTGATCTCATATTGGTATTAAATAGGTCTTTATCATTCTAAAATAATTGAATATTGAAAATAATGTCATAATATGTATTACGCGATACATGTACATGTACAGTATAATGTTGTAAATCATCATATAAAACAGTAATAGACCAACCCCACATACATTAGTGGACCGAGTCCGACTCTACATACAGTAATGGACCCACCCTACATACATTAGTGGATTAGCCCATCATACAGAAATGACCTGACCCTACATATAGTAAAGGACTGACGCTACATACAGTTATGGTGTGACCCTACTTACAGTAGCGGACTGGCCCAACACAAAGTAAAGGAATAGACCTACACACAGTAGTGGACTGACCATATATTTATTTGGGGACATACTAACTATAGTAATGACCTGACCTTAGGTATAGTAGAGGACTGACCCTACATACATTAATGGTCTTATCCTACATGAAGTAGTGGACTGACCCTATGGCAATGGACTAGTCCTACATTAAGAAGTGGAATGACCCTACAAACTGTTAGAAACTTACCCAACATACAGCAATGGACTGACCCTACATTCAGTAGTGGACTTACCCTACATACAGTAATGGACTGACCTGAATCCCTTCCCAAAGTTCAGTAACAGAATGTAACTAAATTTTGTGTCTAAACATGCAATTTATGTAATATATCAAAAAAGTTATGTTCAACAAATGAAGATTTAATTTGATCATAAAATTCTTGAGTATGAAACACATAATTAAAGAGCAATATACATTGCATTTGTTCTGGTTAACAACAAAATATCAAAATCTGTATAATACCATCATTGTTCCTTCACAGTTCAAAATGACACATTATTGTTATCATCATAATTATCATACTTAATAGAGCAATTAATTAACAAAATGCAAACTTAATAGAGCAATTAAATAACAAAATGTGTCATATTTGTTCACATTGGCCTATTATAATAAATGAACAAGAGGGCCATGATGGCCCTGAGGTCGCTCACCTGTAATAGCCCCCCCCCCCGGCCAATTTTAACCCAAGGGCTTTCATTTGTTTATTTGAACAGACTTGGTAGACACCCATAAGAAGATGTTTCATGCTAAACATCTAAGTTCTAGCTCATTGGGTTTTTTAAAAGAAGATTTTTTAAGTTTTTACTATACACATATAGTTAAAAAAAATGACACCCCTTGGGCAGGGCCAGTTTTGACCCCCCAGCTTTTATTTGAACAAAATTTGTAGATATTTACTAAAAGATGTTTCATGCTTAATAACTAAGCTCTAGCTATTTGGGTTTTTTCAAAGAAGATTTTTAAGTTTTTACTATATGCATATAAGGAAAATCAATGACCCCCTGGGGCGGGGCCAATTTTGACCCCAGGGCTTTTATTTGAACAAACTTGGTAGACACTCACTAGAAAATGTTTCATGCTAAATATCTTAGCTCTTGCTCTTTGGGTTCTTTAAAAGAAGATTTTTTAAGTTTTTACTATATGCATATAGGGAAAATCAATGACCCCCTTGGGCGGGGCCAATTTTGACCCCAGGGCTTTTATTTGAACAAACTTGGTAGACACCCATAAGAACATGTTTCATGCTAAATATCTTAGCTCTAGCTATTTGAGTTCTTTAAAAGAAGATTTCTTAAGTTTTTACTATATGCACATAGGGAAAATCAATGACCCCCTGGGGCGGGGCCAATTTTGACCCCAGGGCTTTTATTTGTACAAACTTGGTAGACACTCACTAGAAGATGTTTCATGCCAAATATCTAAGCTCTAGCTCTTAGGGTTGTTTAAAAGAAGATATTTAAAGATTTTCTTTCGGTTGCCATGGCAACCAGAGTTCTGCATGGAATTAAATTCTTTGAACAATTTTTAAAGGTGACCACCAAAGGAACATTCCTGTGAAGTTTGGATGAAATTGGCCTTGTGGTTTATGAGGAGATGTCATTTAAAGCAAAAGTTTATGGACGGACGGACTAGGGACGAAAAGCGATCACAAAAGCTCACCCTGTCACTTTGTGACAGGTGAGCTAAAAAAATTGTTGAAATACAGCGCCCATTCAATTATATGCATTTTGTGGAACTTTTTTATTAAAATTGTTCAAATTAGCTCTATTTATAGCAAAAACTTGTCTAGTACATGTATAATGATTTGAGATCATCAATCTTTACCCTTCCAGACACTACCCCACCCCCCTGAATTTATTCTTTTTTTTTTTTTTGAATTTTGATTTTAAACCTATAATCCTATGTCCTGGCAGGATTGTTGAGGGATGATTCATATATTGGATATTCTTTGTTCATATTGGCCAGTAAGAGACAAAATAACACATTTTTATTAGTAAATTGAGTATGTTAACAGACCAGGTAAATTAGTACATATGTTCATTATGATTTTATTACCAGAATAATATTAGTTTTTTATACAGGGTTTGTGAAAAGGTAAAACCTTGCATATTCTTCTACAAATACAAAAAGTATGGCTCTATCTTGGTAAGCTTAGGAAAGTTCTTCTAGTACAGCAGCCACTGTATTTTAAATGGTTAAAATGCAAACTCAGTTTGTAAACCAAACAAAAGTACTAATTGTACAAAAACAAAATATATAATAATATCATTGCTTTATAATGATCCCAAACACCATCAAATAAATATCATAGGAAAAAAACAACATATTTAGATCCATTTGATTTCAAAATGAATGAACAACTACAATGTATTGCACAAATCAAATAAAACAAACAGTAATAAACAACATTATTTTCTATAACTAAATACAAATATGAGCAAATTAGTGTATGAAGTTCAATTGATTTTGTTCAGGAAAAAAAAACAACAACAACACAACACTTGGTAAGGCTAGAAAGAAATATGTAAAAGAATAAAGGTTTCAGATGAATATTTTGTAAAAATCAGAAATTTTTGCTGGGGATGAAATTTTACTAATTTCTCAAAAAAAATAAAAAAAAAATGTTTACCCCAAGTATCTAGATTACCATTATAAACTTAACAGAACTGAAAGAAGAAATTGGTAAATATTTATCACCTTGGTTATTGGACAGAAATGTTGATAGGGCAAAATTTTGGCCTCCTCGCAAAAAAGTAAAGTGTAGAACATAAATGCATCTTTATTAATCCAACAAGAAAGCAAGCAGTTTACGTTTACCCCTACCCAAAAATACAAAAATTAGCACTAGCAGAAATGATTGTCTGTTTTAGATTAATAATGTAATTGTCATAAAAGTCAATATTTTTGCTTGACTTGTGAAAATTTCATATAATTTACAGCACACTTCACTATGATTTGTGTGTTTGTTATAAAGTCACACCAACGCTGAAACCGTCAAAAGACAACTTTCCTGACTTAATGGTGGTGATCCTCGTGCATTATTTCAGACACCCAAGTAGATCCACTGAGGTTTCATAAGCCTGCCACATAGCTCACATTAAAGCATTCAAAGTCCCTAAAGGGACTCAAACCCACAGCGGTGAAGGGCATGTGGTTTGAAGTCAACAAACTTAACCACTCATCAGTCATCTATGCCCCACTTTGTAATTTCAACAAAATCCATGGTTTGTTTCTGACTTTACAATTGCAATTTATTCTACACATAAGTATACTGTTTCCTATTTAAAGTCGTCTTAATGGAATATAAATTTTTTTTCACATAAATTCCAGTATATGGTTTTCTTCTGAATGTTGTTTTTCATGGAATTTGAAAATTGCTTTGTAACAGCTCCTAATGGGTGAATCAATTAATTCACATAAAAAACAAAAATCAGGGTAACATATTACAACACCTTGCCTAAATCATAATGTTATAGAATGGGGGAAACATAAATATATTCCTGAGTATAGAGAGAGAGACAGATTAATTGATTCTTACATAAAACAATAAATTCACAAACCACTTTTACATGACAGTTCTCTTCACATATACATGTAAACATTTTTAATATCTTCACATGTACATGTAAACATCTTAATATTTCAATCATTCAGATATATGGGCCTAACAACTATTCTTAAACAAATTATAACAAATGAAAGCTAACAACAGGAAGAAAAATCCTATAATCATAGCATATAGAGGTGCTTAATGCTTTTTTATATTTGTATTGTATTATAATCCTAAAGTAAAACATATGGTTTAAAAACATCATACATTTCTATATAAATATTAATCAGTCACAAAACTCAAATAATAAGGTCAAATGACATACACTGCTGATTAGAACACATTCTAGTTACAGATGACAAACAGGGTAAGTACAAGAACCTAAGAACACTGATTAACCAAACTGTCACCTGAAAGTGCATAACTATCTTGATATATAAAGGTACAACCTTTAAAGACTTGTGTCAGAAAACAGATTTTTTGGCTTGATTGCCTACAATGCTAGCATTTTGTTTTGTTAAACTTCACACCAACACAATAAAAGGCGACTTTCAAGCTTTACTGGCAAAGAAATACCTCGGGTGCCTTTCCATGCATTAGTTAAGGCACGAGCGGGCACCCTAGTAGATTCACTGACATTCCGTAAAGTAACTGGATACCTCCTCACATGAAAGAATTCAAAGCCGTGATGGGATTAGAACATACAGCGGTCAAGGGCAAGTGATTTGAAGTCAACGACCCTAACCACTCAGCTACAGATTGTGAGTTTGTATCCAAGTCAGAGACAGATTATTTAATCAGACACCTACGCACCTTTGTGTTACCAACGGATATGTATGTAAGACCACCATTCACTAAATAAAAGCAAAACCTTTCTTGAAGCAATGGTAAGAAATGTATGTCATCGTATAAAACTAACCTCAGCAATGATAAAAAGCATTTCTTACTTCAAATAAAAAAGAAATCATATCTAATAGTATGGGATCTTTGTTCACTAAAGTGAGTTACATTTATCTGCATATAAAATATTTCAATATGAAACCCTGAGGAATCAAATGTTTTAACTGAACACACATGACCTTTAAAGTCTCAAAAAAAGAAAAGAAAAAAAAATAGAACCAGTGATATTAGGTCATATAAAATGAGGTTACGTTTTCGTATTACATTGAGGTTGAATCACATAATACGACATTGCAACACAATTTCATATTACAACATGGGTTAATCACATAATGTATCTTAACTAACATGGCTTGATCTTGTCACATAAAACACAATGTTTTACGGTCACATAAAATGAAGTTACAGGGTCACATAACATAATGTTATATCATCACATAGCATGATATTATATTGTATAACATTATGTTTCATCACACGATGAATCTAGTGTATATTGAGATCTTTACTAAGTTTGTGTCCATGTTTTGTCTTAAATATATGCACAGAGTAATATAATATCAATAGTCCTTTTGCCTTGCTTTATCAGAAAAAAATAATTCTACAGCCTTGTGTGAATTGCATCATATCCCCCAGAAATGAGAATGTTTCCCTAAAATAGGACTCTTCCTTCCAAAAATATGATTGTTTCCCCTGAAATTGAACTGTCCCCCCAAAAATAGGATTGTTCCCCCTAAAATAGAACTGTTCCTTCCAAAAATAGTATTACTTCCCCTGAAAATAGGATTGTTTCCCCTAAAATAGGCCTGTCCCCCCTGAAGTAGGACTGTTTGTTATCCGTTGAAACAGGATTGTTCCCCCTGAAATAGGATTGTCTCCCCTAAAATAAGCCTGTCCCTCCTGAAATAGAACTGTTCACTCTAAAATAGTTCTGTTCCCCCTTAATTAGAACTTATACCCTGACATTTGATTCCTCCCCCCCCCCCCCTTGAAAATAGATTGAAGCTTGAAAAATATATGTTGTTAAAAAAGATAATGGTAAAGGTTATTAACTGAGTTATCATTCAATACATTATTCAACAACTGAGTTCTTCTAATAATAGGGTACAAAGCTATAATGGGCTGTCTGTTACAATGCTTTAGTAAATTTTTAATTTTTAAAAATGATTGTAAATTTCCATAGCAGTAGCATGTGTGCAATCATCCAGAAAACCTTGCTTAAAATAGCAATAAAATATTATGAGAAGGAACATTTTTTCTGTTAAAAAAAACCCCCTCTTTATTAGAAGTGTTCTGTGGATAAACTCTGAACATATGAAAACAACATGGTCATACAGTTTCTCAGATTCATATCTATAACTTGCAAGTGATAGCTTTATACTTTTTAACGCAAATCTGAAACATAATGGCAACAAATCAAAACATACATTTTGTGTAACATGGGAGTGTTTAACTTAACATTACAGTAACATGTTCTATAAGTTTATTATGCTGAAACAAGTGAAGTGCGGAAAAAAAAACCTCCATAGAGATTTCTATGGATCCCTGGGATATAAATTGTGATTATTTATTTATCTATATGATACAAGTGTATTAATTATTGCTAAAATCATCACTTGCTATCTGAGAAGCCACTGAAGTACTGTCTGGAAGAGAAGTACGACACCGAGAATGATCCACGTCTGAGATTGACCGCCGAATAAGTTCTCCTCTCTGTTGTCTAGTTTTTGTTGTAAGGACACCACTTGTCTTTGTAGAGTTTGTACAAGAGTGTTAGTTTCTTGTTGTAATACACATACTGGTTCTAATAATTTTGCTAGGGTATCTTCAGCCACCTTGGCAGTTCTTGAATTGGACGCTGACCGACTTACCCTTTTCCCTGTGTAAAATGATTAAAGATATATAAGGACTGAAATTTACGCTAATGATTATCTATAAACAAATGTATGCAAAACAGCTTGACAGATATTCCATACTAGTTCTGTTATCATTGAAATGCTTGCCCTGTTTTTTATTTATCAAGACATTATAGTGATAATCACTAAGACAAATATGCCTTCTTTGATTTTACAGTTATGCACTGTTGCTATAACTAATTAAATTGTTAACAAAATACATCAGATTTCAAAATAAAAAAATAATTGTGATTAGTCTACCATAAAGCATATGCCTAAAACACTGTTGCTTTTTTTTCCAACTTTTCAGTTTTATGTTTATATTAGAAAGTGTTAGACATACAAAAGACCAAACTTAAATCAGTATTGAAGTGACATCAGAATCAGAATATAACTTATCCTTAAACCTGCTGGAACAGTAAGTAATTAGCCTTTTCCAACAATAACAGTGCAAGCTTTACAATAAGTAACTCAATTTTTTGTGTTTTGTAACTAAAATCCCTTAAAATTCAAAAAGACTATTCTATTTTCAAAGCTTCACAAAAATCCATTGCACAAATTCAGCTGGTTTAATGGTAAATACAGTTAAGGTATTCTCCCATTGCAAGGTCAACATATTTTACATTGTATCATGATTTACTATCCTTTACTTTCATATTACACAACACTATTTCAAACATACTCCCTAACCTTCTTGAAAAACGAAAGACATATTTAACAGACCAACCACAAGTCTTCTATGAAGTATAAATAATTTTGTGGTCATTTCTTGGAAAATGTCACCCCCCCCCTCCCCCCAGCAAAAAACACAAATTCTTCATTTACTTAATATCCTGATAAACAATTTACGCACAATTTACGGACACACAACACTTCTATCTTTAGTAATGTACATACGTATACCGGGTTCTGATGAATCACTGTCATGTTTCTGGTCGAGCTCCGCCGCAGAACTGCCGCTCTCTTCACCGACGACCTTTAACCTTTTCATGGAAGGTCGCTGAATCTTAGACGGGTGCCTCGTAACGGGAACTGTCGTAGACGATTTGTCCGGGACTTGTTCTAAGCTTGTTATACTTAACGTACGTACAACTGGGGTGCGATGTTTTGTCCAAGTTGAGATTAAATACTCTGACTCGTACTGATGCTTGTCGTTGGTGATGTCCCAAGGTCGCATACTGGAACAGACGTTAAAATAAATATAACATGTGTTTTACCTGATGTCATCATTAACTTATAAATAGGGAGTTATATGTAACAGCAATATTTACTGAGTCATGACCTAAAACCATTTTTAAGAGGTAATAACATTTATGTTTGCCGAAAAAAACTCGCTCCTGAGGCATAATTTGCCTTTTAAAATCATAAAGTTTCATTATGTTTGGTTTTTTTGTTTAGTAGGTCATATTATTGTCAATTTTATTAAGACTTCTTTCAATATTTATTTTATTTGAATTAAGTTATTGTACATTTAATCCTCTTATACCTTTTATAAGATAATACTTCGACCTATATAAACAAGAGCTGTCGGTAGGACAGCAACGCTCGACTATTCTTAGTGCTTGATAGTAAAAAAAGCCTAGATTAAAAGGTAAAATTTTCTAAGTAAAGAAAAAGGCAAAATTTTTCTTTAAATCCATATTACAGTTATAGGCCTTGGAGAGAGTCCTATTATGCTCCAAAAGAAGAGTACAAAATTTCAACATGTTTCAAAGCCTTATGTCAATGAATTTTGAAAATATTTGAGGTATTACAAAAACTTTAATGTAAATTCTAAGTCCAAAAAGGGGCATAATTCTGTCAAAATGCTTGATAGAGTTTCCTCCTCCTGTCTACATGTTTTGGTCATGATGGTGAATAAGTGTGCAAAGTTTCAAAGCCATATGTCAATGGACATTGAAAATATTTGAGGTATTACAAAAACTTTAACGTAAATTCTAAGTCGAAAAAGGGGCATAATTCTTTCAAAATGCTTGATAGAGTTACCTCCTCCTGTCTACATGTTGGGGTCATGATGGTGAACAAGTGTGCAAAGTTTCAAAGCCATATGTCAATGGACTTTGAAAATATTTGAGGTATTACAAAAACTTTAACATAAATTCTAAGTCGAAAAAGGGGCATAATTCTGTCAAAATGCTTGATAGAGTTACATCCTCCTGTCTACAGGTTGGGGTTATGATGGTGAACAAGTGTGCAAAGTTTCAAAGCCATATGCCAATGGACTTTGAAAATATCTAAACTATTACAAAAACTTTAACATTAGTGGTTACGCCGACGCAGACGCCGACTCCGACGCCCGGGTGACTACAATAGCTCTACTTATTCTTATCGAATAGTCGAGCTAAAAACTGTCTTAATACATAATTTTTCTCACAAGTGACCATAATAAAGACACCTCAAGACAAAAAAAAAATCAGACTTATTTACCTTTTTCTTCTTGATTTTGCACTTAAAACCCTTTTTGCATTTAAAACCCTGCTTAAATATTTAAACATAAGTATAACCCTACAAAGCATTTATCTGAAATATAACTTACTCCATCATTAACAACATAAAAACTTTCCAACAAGTTACCATTTATTCATACACAACTTACTCAATATGTTTATAAATCCAGTCTCCGGATATTGAGTCTCTCTCAAACAGTTTCGGGATCCACTGCTGCAGTTGAGCTTTCCTTTCTTTAGCTTCTTGCCTCTGTCTTTCCTCTAGTATAAATTTCTCCTGTGTCGCCCCGTGCATGTCCTGGGCTATAATAGCATCACTTACATTCTTCCACAACCTTAAATATAAACAATTTTATTGTATAATGCAATGTTGCCAATGTGATAAAAAAATTACGCAAGTCCTCATACACAAACTTTCAAAATTAAAGCATTATGATGTCATTAATCCAATAATCCAATACCGAATCAATGAATGATGTCATTTTAAAAATGTGATGTCATGCAATGATTTGGCAATTTTTGACGGTTTTCTGACATCACAATTTTATTTTATCAAAGAATCTTTTAACAAATAAGACTTATAAATTAAGAAGGGTTTACCTCTCTGACTCCATGTCAGTCTGTATTTCTATGGGAACTGTGTATTTCTTTAACCTGGCTGCTTTCACGTCTGGCGTAGGAGCAAAGAATAATGATGACTCCTGAAATAAATAGAAATTGCCTGGATACAATACAAACTCCCCTAAAAACTCAAAAGTAATATAATCATTACACAATTTCTGTACTTATTTTATAATTATGTAGCCATTCTTTAAGCACTGCTGACCTAGTTTTCAATAATTTAAAAGGGTTGTAAAAACAAGAGGGCCATGATGGCCTAGTATTGCTCTCATTTAAAAGATTTATAGAAATGGGCCGTGAAGTTTTGATGATATTGGCCTAGTGGTTAAATAGTTCAAATGAAAGTGACAGTGAATGATCATAATATCTCATGGTCACCTTGAGCACTGTGTGCTTTGGTGAGAGAAAAATAAACATTAATGAATGCCTTTAAAAAAACTTTAAAACTTTATTCAATAATGAAAAGATACAAGAATATTTATACAATACAAACCCCTGTGACTTTATCTTTGATATAGATTTCCTGGTCCCAGTGCCCATCTATATGTGCCAGTGTGTCTGATCCCATCTTTAACTTTCCTACTATCTTGTTAGACGCCTCCCCTATACCCAGGAATGGCTGAAAGTTAAATACAAAACTTACAGATAAAACTACTACATAGAACATCTTTATGTATTGTAAACTTAACAGAACAACAACTATCATTAATTTCAATGAGTAACAAATCTGAAACACATGAAAATTTAAAAATAAAAGATTTTTCCAGTTGTGTCTCAACTCAAACCAGCCAAGGTATGATTGTACATGTACAAGGTAATTTTCCAGATTTTACCGGTACAACCTTTTTTGGTTGTGTGTTTGCTTTCAAGTTATGATATAACACTGTGAAGGTCATATGACAACTTTCCTCAGGTTCCACCCATATATATAATTATATTATCATTAAGTTTAAACATATCTATTTCAATATTTACACATATTACATTGTATATGTATATAATTGTTACATAAAATTGAAAGGGATTAGAACAAAAGAAAACTTACATAGTTCCTCTCCCTATTTTATTGCATGTTCGACCTACAATAAATTAGATATACTGCTTTAAAAAGTCAACCTTACCTTGAGTTTAAATTCCAGATCACATCTGTACCCTGTTTTTGGACAAGATATACTGACTTTACCTCCCATTTCCATTGTTAACGTTCCTATTAATATCCCTGAAAACAGATATCATTCCATTTTATATTAAAATGATAAAAAAACAACAGACATGCTGGTATGGCAATCACAAGATCATATCCTGCAAGATTTCAATTAATAGGTCAATGAAATTCAAACATACATGTATTCTTGTATTTCATTTTTTAACTTTAATTTAAAAAATTTGCATGACTCAAAGATAACTAGGGAAGACATACAGGTCTTTCATGTGATGAAAATTAACAAGAGCATCTTATGCAGTGTAAACACTCCTTGATCAAAATAAGCAATTCTGATAAAAAAATCAAAGATAAAAGGGGTATAACTTCAAAAATACAGCTTTCAGAATAATGCCCCTCGTCCAACAAGTCACAGCTGCACCTTGTCAGGATAAGCAAGCATTCCAGATTTCTTGTTGATAACTTAATAATGGGCTACATTAAATTTCCTCAACGATGACAAGGACACAGCGACCATATAGCTCTACTTTTTATTCAAAACAAATGAGCTAAAAAATCATCTGGAACACTTTGCTGACTTGAATACAACTTTTCTTTTTTTTTAAATATTTCTACTGACTGATGTATAATTTCAAATCGAGAACATGCAAACTTTGCATTATAAGTAACACTCGAGGACATTCATTTAAGGCCCTGAAAACTGCCGAAAATATGGGAGTGATAAAATAAAGTATGAATCGGAAAGAGTTACGTACCTTTACAATGAGCATAAGGCATGGTTATATAGTAATCTTCACCTCTCTTGAGAAAGGAAAGTTTAGCTGTACCGTCTAGAAGGGCTGATAATGAGTTTCCTGAAATACACAACAATAATTGTTAGTCATTGATGTTTTTAAGTCTTTTTTTGTAATACTTATACATCAATTATTGTCAGCCATGGATTCATAATGTTTTAAAGGCTTTATCTTTTTCTCTGTAAAATAATCTAACACTAATTCTGGTATCTAGTGATTAACAGTTAGTAAATAGAATGTGTTTATTTATCTATCCTTACATACTCTTCTACAACTGTATTTAACAAATTCTAAATCCAAATTAAAGAATTGTAGTTCAGAATTTTTGATAATCAGTACTATAAATTTTTATCTTGTCACCTTAGAGCAGTAACGGGTTAACTACTTACTGCGAATTCACTTATATTCGTGGGCATAAAAGTTCGTGGTTTTATCAAAACGGGCATTTTCGTGGGTTCTTAAATTCGTGAATTTTCATTTTCTTGTTAAAAAATTCATTAACCTAATACAAAGTAATCTTAATCGCCAAAAAATTTTTACTTACAACATGTACATATCTTTACTTGTCACACAGCGGTTGTCAATAAATTTAATCCTTGCCTCTGGGCATAACTCTAATACAGCACAGTTACTGCCGATAATTGACTGCAATTAACACATATATGTGACATGATATGCACCTCCATTGGACACACTGCCCCTGTAATTCGCCGATGTAAACATCGCATAATTTATACGACACCTGGCACGTTTTAACCAGCGAGTTTAAAAGTTTACACTTAACATATTTGACAGTAACTACACGCAACGTCACAGCGACTGTGTAAATTTACATGCATATAAATTATTCTCGGTAAGTAACACGAGTATATGTGGATCTTGTAAAAGTCGGTGGCGTCTTTGATGTTTACGGAATAGCATTCGCACAAATACTGATTAAAATTCATATAAACTGGAGCATTTAAAAACAACAAGGAAAGTACAATAAAACTGTTTTAGCGATCGTATTTTTTTATAGTTTTGTGTACTTACGACATTAATATCAAAGACTTTTTTTTAATTAATAAGAGCAAACTGACAATTTTTATTAGCGCTAATTATTGCACTGCCTGGGTTCCCATATTTACTCGATTATGTCAAGTCTTCTTGTTACTAGTAGACTACACCGTTCAAGTATGTATATGCGATATTTGTGACAGTAAATTGAGGACATATTTATAATCGAGTTTTCTTTCAAGTTTCTTAAATATTGCAAACGGATTTAATATGTCACTAACCTGGTTATCTGTCTGTACTTACATCCATTTCACGAAATATCGGCCGGAAAAGAGCCGACGCATGTTTGTAATATATAGAACAGAGACAGGGTAAGAAGTATTTGTTGGGATAAAAGTTCGTCGGATCTTAAATTCGTGGATTGACCTACCCACGAAAACCACGAAAATTCGTGCCCCACGAATAATAATGATTTTACAGTATATAATTTGATAGTAGTTAAACCTATTACTGCACTAAGGTGTTGTTTAGTTTTAGAAAGTCCCAATGATGACCATAAACAAAATTTTTTCCTCATAACTTCTTACCATAAAATTTAGACTTGGCCAGAATACTTCCAGATATATTAAAACCGTCTTTTCTATTTGAGACATAGAAGCCAGTTACTGGTGGATGATGGGACAGTTGCTCTGCGATGTAGAATGTACGACTGTTGGTGTTCGGATGATGCCAGTAACACCTGTATGTCTCGCCAATTATAGGATTATATGGTTTTTTAAGGCCCTGAAAGATTAAAATAATTCATGTTTAAGGTTATGCAATCATACCACAATTATTATATCAAATAAATCTTTATAAATTTTGAGAGATCTTTTAGAATTATACACCAATGGTATTATTATTACCCCTCACTATTTTTGTAATGTTGCTTTCCCATAGGCAAATGGGAGTTATTCTTACTGTTAATTTAAGTGTACCATGAGACTAAAAATTTTGTACTATTACATAGGTTACAGTACTTTTCACAGTAAAGATCGGAAAAAAAACTATAGAAACAGTGTCCCAATGAAGTATTTGTTTGGGGTAATCAAAAATATATCACATAGGTTTTTGAGTAATAGCAAAAATATCATCCCTTATAAAAATACTGTAACCCTAGGATATCGAGGATATTTTTTCTATTACATATCTGTGTGTTATTAATTTTATATATTGTCACTTTTTTATATATGGCAGGATATTCTCCCTTTAAATATAAAGTATTGAAATTTTTAATAATAAGAAAACCTGCAGAGGGAACATTTTCTGCTTCCATGCTTTTAAATGTAGCAATGGACATTTGGCAGTAAGATAAAATGTTAAAAAAAAAAGACATCTACCCCTCATCACCACTAAAAATTACTTTTGACCAATTTGACCACACCTTCCTATCTACAATCATCTCGCTGAGAGAAAGACCCCAAAACCGAAACTTACCTTTGGTTTTTTGTAGAAGCCGGAAAGATACCATTTCACCACAGATTTAATTCTGGTATAAGGGTCTTCTTGTAAAACAGCCCTAGAAACAAAACGTTTATCAAAATTATGTTCCGTTATCTGAACCCAGCAAAAAAATTATTTTAAGCTTTAAAAGTAAACTATGTGATCAAGAGCAAATACTTCTCCCACAGCCATCAATGGGGGAAACCTTCTTTCAAATTTTCTATTAATAATTCACTCTTAATGCAATGGATTTGCCTAGCTTTGAATCTGGAACAGTCCATTCAAAGTTTGAATATCAAAATACAAAAATTGAGCTACTAACAGTATACAGCCTATACTGGAGGCTGTGATGAATACTGGTTGGAAAACCTAACCTCTTTCGGTTCCAGTTAATTTGTACAAATTAAAGCAAAAACTTACTCTGAGAGGATATCACAGTGGTAATAATAATCTGTTAACTTGTCGAGGAAAGAGCGAGGTTCCAGTATAAAAGTTGGAAGCACAACTTTAGATAAGTCCATTCCAGGTCGCACCTATGTAATTTATATAAATATCGTCAAATACTAGTTAAACAGTTAAAGCAGAACGCCTCCAGATTCATGCTAATTTTCATGAAAATTTTGAAAATGTATTAAAAGTAATATATTGTAAAATGACCAAAGAAAATAATTTCCACATTACAAACAGTACTTACAACCCATGTGAATTACCAAAAAAAAAAAAGAATTTAAAAAAATTTAATAATATTCCTAACTGTTTTAGTAACATAGTAGAAATATGGTTAAAAAGACTGCAAAATCAGTCATAAATTGCACATAACATGGAACCCATTACAGTAACCTTTATCTTGAATCATTTTACTTTTCTTAAAATCTCAGTACTTTTTTCTGAAGTTTGATCTTCGTGAAAATTTTTGGTTCATCTGGAGGCATGAAGCTATAAGGAAATGAAGCATGATTGAGGTATTTTGAAGACAAAGATTTCTAAAAATATGACTCTTTAAGTCTAGCACTAAAATAAAATAACCATTAAAACAAAATACATTTTATCCAGAAATTTTTTTCTTTGAACTTTTAAATCTGGACATGAATTATTACTAATTGTACTATGAGCTCTTTTGTCAGGTTCGTATAAATCAACAGAGAGTCTAATAGTCAATTGGCTTTTGTCTGGATATCATTATATATCTGCCAACTACACCCCCAAATTATTAGAGATAAATTTTACAGTAACAAACCTGTTTCATAAGTGTCCAAATAATACTTTTATTTTCATCATTAACTTCTTCTGTTTGACATGAATCTCCTTGCTGAAAGCAAAAAGGAATAAGGTAAGTACTAATAACAAAACATATAATGTGAACTTTTCTGATTTGTCCAAGTAAAAGAATTTTCGGCCATATCTCGACCATTGTTCCGTCTAACTGATTCTCCACAAGTGAACCTATCAAGTTACCTAGTGGCAGGCCTTTTCCTATTTATTTTGGGAAAAGGACCTTGCCCGAACTCCAGCAAATTTGTCAGTTTTGATATCAAGAATTTCATTTCAATTGGGATTTTTTTTCCAAAGATTGGGAAAAAAAGAAGCATATTTGACATCGGGAATGGGTCTGGTAATCTGACCCATGGTGACACTGCAAAAAAACATGCAGTGGAAAAGATAAATGTCTCTTAACCAAGGGTTCATCAGTGTGAGCCCAACCTGGCTGACATCTATGTTTCCTAATATGTCACTAGTACCGATTTTGTCAGGCAAATAACCTCACAGTGGCTCAAATATGCATCAGTTTTCCTCAGATCTAATCAAAATCAAATATGCTTAAACAAGGAGAACAGGTTCTAATGACTAGCCATTATTTATTCCTTAAGAGTGTGACATAGAACATAAATCAATTAATATCAAACCTGTCCTAGTTCTTCAACAGCACACATAATATACGGTGTTTCTGATGGCTTTGATGATGCTGATGATGACCTTACGACCTCGTCAAACACCCGGTCATCCTCCTCTTCTGATTGGCTAGAATCTGAGGCCGCCTCCTCCCTGTCAGTCTTATAGTCTTCATCCAAACCTGATGAAAATAATTAAGTCACAAAGGTTACCGACAATGGGGAAATACAATATGCTTCTGAAATCATGCATGTATCTTTGCACAAAAATGCAACTTAAAGATCTAACAAACAAATTAAAAGGTCTACGCACTAAGCTTCATAACAATATCAGCTTAGCAACAGCATATAAATTCTATATCCTAATTAAACCATATTCAAACAGTTGTTTCTAATTTACTGTATATTAAATTGTGCCTATAATAATGTATGGATTGGTAGTCTCCCTTCACCGGTAAATTCTGTCCATAACTGTGTTGTTTTAACTTACATCCCTCCATTACTGTGTTGTTTTAACTTAAATCCTTAAAGTTTTAGGCTAAATAACATAATTAAATAATGCTTTATTTGAATAAAAATCTCTACATGCCCATCCCAGGTACAGGAAGGTATCAATGTTGACAGTGAGAGTGGCTTTGAAAACAGGAGTTTTCGAATACAATAAAATGTCTACGAGAATGATTTAAAGTTTGTAACATCAGCCTCAAGATATTCATATTACCAGGTTGTATTTTAAGAAACATTAATTCTTTATATATCGTGGCATTTCAAGTGAATGTTAATAAATCAGTTGAAATAGAATCAAGTGTGGAGATCGCATTTAAGCTCTTCTGGAAACATTTTTTATCCAGACAACATTTATCTTAGTAACAATCATGTTCTTTTACATTGAATGGTATTCTTTGGTTTTAAGACAAACAGACACTGTAAAAGTCAATATGAAGACTGTCCAGCTTAAAACAGTGGCGAAAACCTCGAGTGCTGCTTCAAGCATAATTTCAAGTACAAGCTGGCAATTGAGAAGAACCAAAGACCTCTATCTTACACATACATGCCATCTAAAACATACCCATTTCTGCTGATCAGTATTTTTTATATAGACTATAAAATGTATATTATTTTCTAAATTCAAAATCACACGTCTATTTCACACATGGGGTTAAAGACTAATTACCCTGATTTGCAAAATGTTTTTCGCAATCACTTTCATCCATGCTGTCTCCACCGTCTTGTTCTTGCTCGTTGTCTTGGTGACTGGGAGGTAACGAGGAGTCCGACATCTCCGCCTCGTTCTCCGCAATTAGACCATTTCCCTCTATGCTGCCTGTACTATCCTTTTTCATAGATTTCATCAACAAATTGGTACATCGGAGGGATAGTTCTAAAGCATCCATCCAACATTTTCCTGAAATATAAAATTCCATGAGTCTTAAAAGCAGTTATAAATCATATCACGTAGTAATATCTTCCTTCAAAATTTTGTTATTTATTACCTATTGATTAATATTTCAAACTTTCTCTTGGAATACATAAACATTTGCTAAAAATATGACGTAATATATCATCAAATCAGTTTGATAAGGAAAGGAGTATAGCTTGATTTTTCCTACAATCTTTCCATCTTAAAGCAATTATATTTCAATGTAAAGTAAATAAAATTGTTAGCATGAAATGCATAAAACTGAATAATTGTAAATACATCAACCAAAAGGTGACTGAAAATCTTTTAAAACATCTTTTTCACAAAACAAAATAATGGCAACTTTAATTCGACATTCGAGAGGAATAAACTTCTAGTGAATGCAAAAATTCTATCCTTTCAATGCAACATTTAAGACTTTGAGGGAGTACCAGTGACTTTAAGTGATCTAAATAAGATAGTAACTTTCACCACAATCCAGTAATGACAAATATTTTCCTGTTAGGTTTCATATTGCACCAACACAGTTAAGGTCATATGGCAACTTTCCAGTTTCACTGGTGGAGGAAGACCTCAGGTGCCCCGCAGTGCATTATTTCAGGCACAAAAGAGTACCCAAGTAGAACCTCCAACTTTCTGTAAGCTAGCTAGATAGCTTCCTCACATGAAAAAAGTCTGAAGTCCATGATAGAATTTGAACCATAGCAGTGAGGTGCAAGTAGTTTGAAGTCATTGACCTTAACCACTCAGCCAGGGGTGCCTGCAACAACTAATACTATATAGAAAACTTTTTTTTAAATGAAAACACCTTTCTAGCTTCATTAAATCATAAAATAGTCTCTTTTGTGTACGATTTTCATAAAATAGTCTCTTTTGTGTACGATTTTTTTTCAAAACAAGTAACTCTATATAAACCAGGAAAACAACCATAACTTACCTGCAGCTTCTGAAGGAGCTCTGAATATAAGGTAGGAATAAGGCAATGGTTGTACTATGGCACCAATTGTCTCCCCTTTTGGTCCCTGCAAATGAAAATAAGATTCAGATCATTACCTAAAACTGTAAAATATCAACTTAAAGAGACTTGGATGGTAGACTAGCTTGCATTTATCACTACCTTCCCTGAATAGGCTAAATCAAACTGTGCCTGCATCATTTTCTAATTTTGCTGCTTGAGACATTATGTTTTCCTTTTTTTTCTGAAACAAGAGGGCAATAAAAGCCCTATATTGCTTTCCAAACTCAAAAGACTGGACATTTGAAAACAGTTTTTTTAAGGAAGATTTTAATTGTTTGTCTAATTATAAGACCCTGCCCCTATAAGCCATGGTGTTTTCATTAAATCAAAGTAATTTTAACAGTAGATGGTCACCTGATAATCAATTATGTGAAACAATATCAGTTTTAAACAACCAGAGTTCTACATGGAATGTAATGAAAGATGGTAACCCAAGAAAAAAGTTTAGCTAATTAGGAGATGTCATTCAAAGAAAACTGATGATGGATTGGTGTACAGACAGACAGATGGACAGACAGTGAGTGATCACAATAGCTCACCTTTATCACACTGTGCTCTGGTGGGCCCTAAATCCATGGCAAGATTTAAACATACTGTGGTCACAGTAGTGAGGTGTTGAAAGGCACAGTTAAAATGGATGAATGAAAAGGGTCTATTTCTCAGGTTATATTACCAACTTATTTGTACAAACATTGCAAACACCATAATTTTATAAGTAACAATATTAACATATTCCAACAAACCTTTGTTGCCCATATAGACTGGTCCAGGGGATGGAAGATCTTGAAACAGAAACCATCTTTCTTTGAAGGCCGCTCAATCAACCTACATGTGTTGAGCAAAACTGTTCCAACCCAATGATTGCTCTGAAATAATAAGAAATATATGTTAACCAAATAATTCTGAAATAAAACATGAATGAAGAATGGGAGCTGTCGTTAAAACAGCGCACTTGACTAATCTCAGTGCTTGACAGTAATAAAACTGCAGGGCACTAGACACCTTTTGGGGACCGGTACCCATACCCTAAGGAAGGGGAATTTTGAGTCGTTTTAAGGCAAAATTCGGAATTTTATGTTATTATGTATTTCGTGTATCTTTCATCACAATTACTCATTACACTATTTTCTACCATTGGTTTCAATGGTTAGTCATTTTCCTACCATAGAAATCTGGATGGCTTGTATATTTTTTAATGTAGACTAACAAATAAAACAAATTACTTTAAATTGATTTTTTTTAGAATTTGGAGGGGATTTTTTTCTGAGATTGGGGAAAAATACATATGATTTTTAGAGGGGAATGGTACCCATATTTGGCCCCAAAAACGACCAAACGAATGCCCTGCTTTAAAAGTGGCATTACTCAGTAAAAACATAGCTCAAGGGTTACGAGACCTATGCCTTCCCTGTAAGAGAATAACACATATTCAGTAGTTTTGGAGATACCAATTTACTTGCATGCAAAAACTTAACAAAAGTGAACTAAAAATGAGCATGTCACCATTTACTCTTCCTTTTACTTCTTTTACAGAAATTAATCCAACTTCGACATTATAACTACATAATAACATAAACAAGAACCGGTTGAACCGGGTGATGCTCCCCGAGAAGGTTCTGGACACAGGAAAGTATAAAAAAAATGAACAAAGGGCAAAAAACTCCAAAATTAGGCAAAGTGGAGTTATGTTTTTATGCACTGCACTTCTATTCAATGAGATCTATCTATCTATAAAGTTTCCTGATGATATCAGAGTTATGTCCCGGGTAAAATTCAAAGTGTAAAAATGAACAAAGGGCAATAACTCCAAAATTAGACCAGGCTTTGTTTAGGTTCTTTAAGCATTGCAGTTCTATCCAATTATATCTAGCTACCTACAAAGTTTCATGTTGATATCTCTAATAGTTTAAAAGTTATGTCACGGACAAAAGTCAAAAAGTAAAAATAAACAAAGGGCAATTACTTTAAAATAAGGCAAGGCAGTGTTATGTATGGGTAAGAGTTCGTATTAAGACGACCGTAGGGAGTCTTATCGAACTCTTACCCATATAACTGCAAATCGGCTCTTACAACTCGATATCAGATAAAAATATAGAAAGTGTCACCTCTTTAATTAAGCATAACATTATTTTTCCCCAGCAGTCACGTACAAACAAGGATGGGGTCCAATTACTTAATCTGGCATGTAAAACAATGAGTTTTCAACAATACCTAGGATTGTTAATGCAATTCATTCCTGTCATATGAAACAAACTAATGTTTTGCTTACTTTTTCTAGAAAATATAAAACAGTCAGCAATTAATAATTGACATTTTTCATAGAGTTAAAAGGATATCAAAAAGTTACTGTGTTCTCATTTGTCTCTGCAAGCTGAGCTCCACGTGCATTATCTATGTAATAAATTTGAATGTATCACATTGCTACAGTGTTATCAGCCTTTTTCAGAAACACCTGACCTGGCTAATTAAAATATGCCAATCACAATTTTCAATATCAGCACTGGTTTCTTCATGAAATAGCGGCTACACTAATTACTGTCCAGTAAGAGCCGATTTGCAGTTATGATTCTTAAGCACTGCACTTCCACCCAATGAGACCTATTTATCTACAAAGTTTCATGTTGATATCTCTTATAATTTTAGAGTAATGTCCCGGACAAAGTTCAAAGTGTCAAAATGAACAAAGGGCAATAACTCCAAAAGTAGGCAAGACAGTGTTACAGTTCTTGTGCACTGCAAACTTACTTAAAGAGATCTATCTACCTACAAAGTTTCATGTTGATATCTTTTATACATTCAGAGTTATGTCCCCGACAAAGTTCAAAGTGTAAAAATAAACAAAGGGGGATAATTCAAAAATTAGGCAAGGCAGAGTTAAGGTTCTTGTGCACTGCACACTTACTCAATGAGATCTATCTACCTACGAAGTTTCATGTTGATACCTATTATAGTTTTAGAGTTATGTCCTGGACAAAGTTCAAAGTGTAAAATAAACAAAGGGGGATAATTCAAAAATTAGGCAAGGCAGAGTTACGGTTCTTGTGCACTGCACACCTTCTCAATGAGATCTATCTACCTACAAAGTTTCATGTTGATATCTCTTATAGTTTTAGAGTTATGTCCCGGACAAACTTCAAAGTGTAAAATAAACAAAGGGGGATAATTCAAAAATTAGGCAATGCAGAGTTACGGTTCTTGTGCACTGCACACCTACTCAATGAGATCTATCTACCTACAAAGTTTCATGTTGATACCTCTTATAATTTTAGAGTTATGTCCCGGACAAAGTTCAAAGTGTAAAAATAAACAAAGAGGAATAATTCAAAAATTAGGCAAGGCAGAGTTACGGTTCTTGTGCACTGCACACCTACTCAATGAGATCTATCTACCTACAAAGTTTCATGTTGATACCTCTTGTTGTTTCAAAGTTATGTCCTGGACAAGAAAAGGGGACGGACGGACGGAAAGACGGACAAGGCGGCGACTATATGCTCCCCCGAAATTTTTCGGGGAGCATAATGATCATATCAATATATATTTATTGTTATCCAGGATTAGTGTCCTCATTTTGAACAGTGGGGAGAAATAATCATTTTATCTTGCTAACAATTCATTATTAATTCATGTGTAGCAATAAATTTTTGCATTTGTTTATTTCAATATCAAAGTGAATTGGTGCAAACAATGACAGCAATATGTGTATTTAGATAAAATTGAGCCGCGTCACGACAAAACCAACATAATGGGTTTGCGACTAGCATGGATCCAGACCAGCCTAGGCATCCGCACTCTGATCAGATTCCATGCTGTTCGCTTACCAACCCTTTTACAAGTAGATAAACTGATAGTGAACAGCATGGATCCTGATCAGACTGGGTCGGATCCATGCTGGTCGCAAACCCACTATGTTGATTTTGTCTTGATGCAGCTCAAATTGACTCTAACAATGACCGCAAAATGTGATAGATGATCTGGCGCAAACGATAAAAGCAATATGTGAATGATTATGATGTAGCTTTCAAAATTGCATGCTTCTGACAGGCTTTACTCCTGCTATAAACACATTTCTCACAAAAACAACCCCCTGACAAAACAGCTCATGTTATGTAACAGCACATTATGTAAATGAAAATAATTGATATAAACAATGCTTTTGTTCTTTTAGCATGTAAACACTGTAACAAAATGCTAACATTAAGATACTGTTGTAGCTATTCATATAAAATGTCAAATCAAATTAATTTTGTAATCTTTGTTTAGTTGCAGCACATAACACTATGAGTCCAACATATGTTTTTCTTACAAAAAAGAGGTTCCTTTGAACTATCAATTAAATGTGCTGGTATAAAGAAAGTAATAAAATGTCAAATTTTCTGGTTGTAAGCTACAGGCACAGAATTTTATATAATGTAGGTAAGTTTTAACTGTCATTAGTCCCCCCAAAAAATCATATTCCAAAGATGTGTATGGCTGTCTATGAAAAAATATGATTAACATGCATGGTGCAACTGAAGTGTTTGCCATAATTCATTGGAAACTGTATTTTATTTTCTCTTGGCCTTTTGGATAATTCCAAATTAAACTGAAATATAGTATTACATGTCTTCATTTGGCCTATGGTTGCCTTAGGACAACCTTAACCTTAATGAAAATGGTAACAGACTTAGTATATGTAACAGGTTAATGGTATCTTTACAGAGTCAGTGCTGTCTGTCTGGCAAAGCTACACTGTTGTCAGTGCTGAATATTCATATTTAAACACTGTCACAACTTGATCTATAAATTAAAGGACAGTTTAATGTACAAATTTGCGAAAGTATACCTTCATAGATCTAGCCCTGAAAAGAATTAAATACCAATCATGATGTATACCTTTTGTTTTTCACTCTTGTATAGAACCAGTAGGCCTGGTTTCAACACACACCATAACTTGGTCCAACTTTTTAATGTACCCCGAACCTTCAACCAATCAGCAAGCACAATAACAGACGGGTCCTTTAATGTGGTTAGTAACTCACGAGCTGCTTGTTTCTTCTGACTGCGGTAATTTCTCTTTTGCTCCTGAAAGGATTAATAAATTACATAGAATATAATACAACATAGACAAAAGAAAATATAAAAATATATTATAAACCGAGACTTTCAATTATAAATGAACACATATGTATAAAACCCATATGCCAAACTCCCTATAGCAGACTGACAAATATGCATTTATTGCATTTTAGGGGACAAAATCCTTAAATGCTAGATTAATAATTTTGTAACATTTTTAATTTTAACTTTAGAGCCAAATTCAACCATTGCTATTGTATCAAAATGGAAAATCGCTTTATATGATGTAATCTCTTGAAATAGTCCTGTTTAATATTTATTCTTATTTTATATGATGAAATCATTTGAAATATTCTTAAGATCTGAAACGCATCTAGCATGTTGACCTAGTTTCCAGAAAAAAAAACAACCTGTGGCCTGTATTTGACATTATACAATACAGGCGGCTCAGTGTGCATAACCTACAACACTCCATTTCTGTAATCTAATTCTTCAACTGTCTACTGCACAATGAAAGAATGATTGTGCTTGACACAGACTCTGACATCATGATGAAAACATGTCTAGAATTTTCCTTACGAAAAGAAAATTCGTAACTATTGATTAAGTGATTTTGTAGAAGAACCCCCCCACCCCCTCCAAAAAAAACAACGTAATGCATTCAACCCACTTCAAACAACAGAAACGATCACTTCCATCAACGTGATTACCAAATATTTCTACATAATCAACTATATAACTATATATGGACAGACGTTGAGTAACGACTTCAATAAAATCCTCAGACAATTGCTTCATTAGGGCGAGATTGTATGACTATAGGCCATCAGCGTAATTGTACATAAACAAGGCAAGCTTTCAGCTAAATCAGATTTTCACATCTCTTTGACAACCAAATCATTGTGTTTGCTGTTACAACGGTCTCGTGCTTACAAATAAAAAATCCAAATCAGGATCACAAATGGTTGTGATTTTGCATCCATTTCTGTATGAAAATTACATTTAATCACATTAAGCTTATTTATAATTTATACATTTAATACAAATTCATAATTAAAAAATAACACAAAGCTAACTCATTTCAGGATAGAATTTACCAATTCTCTATTACAAATTACAACAATAACCAGACTGAAAATAAAGTAAAAATTTAAAAAAAGAAAAGAGAGCAAAAAATGCCTGATTACTTATCATTTCTTGTATTTTTCAAGACATTAAACTAGGCATTGCATACCACCTCCTAAATCCTTAACCTAATCTCTGTTATGAGAAATGTGTTAAATAATAACTTTGTTCTAAATTTAAAGAGATAGTTACCATTCACATTTTTTATTGAAATCCATAAAATTATGTTAAATAAAAAAAATATTTTGCAGAGAATTTTTTATTTTAGTGGCCTACCTACCTACCCACAATGGCATGGGTCGTGGGAGGGGAAACAAAGTTAATTTAAAGACATACCGGCCCTATAATTATATGTGTATATAATTCTAGACAATTGCTTCAATAGCCTTTTTATATCATCACATCTTAACAAAGTAATAGAGCCTATAGGCTAAACTATTTTTCTGAAAAATAGGCGTTTCAAGTACAAACAAATCTGTAACAAACTTAAGCATTTCAATCAAACTGCACATAAAAAAGATCTATTAATTTAAAAGTAGATTGTATTTAAAAAACCTATTAGAGAACACTAACAACAGAAAAATGCCAGAGGACTTATAAGCTGAACTGCGTGTGTTAATATCTATAAATCTAATAGAAGCTCATTCTTGAAGATGATATTTTACAATAACAAATTTTCAAATAATCCACTTCATTTTAAATGCACTTGGTTCTATCCTTTTTTTCAAATCAATTAGATCTTTCAAGAAATGCTTTAAATGTTGAAATGTTACACTAGCTATGAACTTATTGAACTCAACTAACTGTTCTAAAAATTCTAACATACCTTCATAGTTGAGTTAAACCAGGTGAAAATAAAATTATCATTTGGTGACAAGTGCTTTTTTGACACAAACAAACTCATTTTTCCAAAACTAAAACTTATTTGTTACAATTTCACTAGCAAAAAACACTGTTCTTATTATTATTAATTACATACATGTACCTAAGTATTACAGACAATAATATTTCATAACTGGAGAATAAAGCCGTCATGTACAACAAGCAAATATAAATATGCTTGACTAATCAATACTATAACTTTTAACTAACCCGTTCAAAGCTTCTATAATAGTGATCATAAAGAAAATTGATTCTATACAGGGGAAGTATTGAGTTTTAAATTTTTATCGCAATCAATGATACAGATAAACCATGTATACATTTTATTCGGTTTTCATTTTGGAGCAATTACTCATGCAATTATATTTATCATGTTATGTAAATTTTCTATTAATGGTGTGCTGTAAATAATCATAGCAATGACCCAGCAGAAGGACTCAAACCTACCACCTGTAGGTTATGAATAAGCTAATCACTTACCATCGTTTTTAAGCATTCCAAAATTAATGTGTTTGTCAGTTTTTTAATCTGATTTTAACCAATTTTTGACTATATGTTGGCAATTAGTCCACCTTATACATGCTTTTCTGAGTAACTTCACCAGTTTTTGATGTTTGACTGGGTTTTACGACACAAGCCACATTCCAGCTTTACTGGTGCAGGAAGACCTCTGTGCCCCTCTGTGCATTATTTCAAGCACAAACGGACACCAGAGTAGAACCACTGACGTTCTGTAAGCTAGCTGAATAGCTTCCTCACATGAAAGAATCCAAAGTCCCTGTCAGGATTCGAACCCACAGCAGTGAGGGGCAAAAGTTTGAAATCAATCACCTTAACATAACCAATAATTACACATAATTTCTCAGTAAATGACTGACTAACTAATCCCACATGATATC